ATTTCGGTTCCTTGAAGGTTCACTATAGCGGGGTTTGACTGTATTCTATTCACAAATTTATTAATGAACCTAAGCTTTTAACCAACATTATATAAGTTTAGCTAATTACATTAAACATTTAAAAAGAAGTCAGTGATTGCACAGGAATACTATTCTCAAACGATTTCCATATAAAAATATGCCAAGAGAAGAATAAAGATAACTGAAATTAATTTATATAAACAATTTTATTTGTCATAAAGAAATATTTCATGTTGACTAAATCAAAGATACACAAACATGCATACACTCAATCAAACATAATGTTACCAGATGATTGATATTTTTCTAATGGCAAGTCAATGACTAGTCAGTATATGAGCACCATGAAAGTATAGGAGGAGAATTGGTTAACAGCTACGACATATACAAAAGCAGACACACTAACATTTTTATGATGTACAATTTGATTACTATTTATCATTTGATTTCTTTTTTGTAAAAGATGTAAAATCATTTGCAAAGTAAGCATAAAAATTGATTATATAATACAGATATCTATATATATATATTACACAATTTTATAGTAAAATTTAAATCGAGTCATAGCACATTTTCGGACTTAGTAAACAATTTTAAATACATATATATATATTCTTCATCAAGAGCTTATATAAATATACACTTCTGAAAGTCACATTTTATTAAAAGGATTAAAAAAATTGCTATCTGCTTGAGTATATGCAGCGCCAAATATTCATTCATTTTTTTTAAAATTTACATATTACACTAATGTTGTTAAAATAAAAGTACAAATGCATAACATTTTGGAAGAATTATTTTACATGAAATAGTTACTTTAGGATTTCTTAATTAGTAATAGTAATAACACAGCAACGTCTTAAAATAAACCAAATTAAAAACTTAAATATATTATGTATTTTAGGCCAACTAAAAAAAAAAATCATTAAATAATTTATACTGTATTTAATAAAAACAAATACAATACAAATGCAGAATTTTATGAGAAAAATATTTTTTGAAAACAGTAACTTTAATTTATCAATTAGTAATAAACTATCAATAGCACAAATAGGCATTATAGCTATAAGAAAATTTTAAAAATCCTTTGACAATTTTAAAACAATCAAATGTTTAAAAGGTTATTTAAATGTATATTTTTGATTAATGTGAAGAAAAAAAAATTCACAAACTCAAATTTCAAGCAATTACTTTACTTGCATGTAGAACTCACATACTTAGCTTGTAGACTATTAATCCCAAAAGAAAGCATAATCTTTAAAAATTTGATTTACATTTTACCAGCAACATTTTTTTTATAATACAGTAGAATAACGACTTTCTGTCAGATGGGGGAAAAAAAAGTTGAAATGAATAAATATTATTCTAAAGGAATTACTTGTTCTGTGCATCCATGTGAACTAAAAACTTATTCTATTAGTTACAGGGATGAAAGTACCAGTTAGCAAAAAAAGCTGAATTCTACATAAAGGCAATCAAACATTATGAAATTAATAAATGTATGGAGCTTAAAAAGCTGAATTCAGAGTAAAAGCTGAAAACTTTCATGCCTGTAGTTAGTAAAAAAATTCAGCTCTTATTTCTTAGTTTTATTTGACATTTTCAATACAAACTTGCATGAGAGCTTAACTTTCAAGAGCTCAGTAACAAAAGTAGAAACAAGGAACATGTGAAAGGAAATAATAAAAAGTTATACTTAAAAAAAAAAAAATGTTGCTGGTTTAATACCATTTATTAAAACTAACTTAGATTTATCTCATCCTTTATTATCTAAAAAACAAACAAACAAAAAAAACAGATAAAATTTATTTCTGAAGCACATAATGATAAAATTCTTTCATTTAAATAAATTCATTCAATTTTCTGAACATAAAGCTATTCTTTCATTTATGTTTACAAAAACTCTCATTCACAGAAATGGACCAGCCATACAATGGCTACATAGACACGCCACACAATATATTTTCTGTATCTACATCAAGTAGGAAATAACAACTATATTGCTAGAATAATAAATGAATCTGCACTTTGGCACTTTAAATATACAGTCAAACTACACAGAGAAGTAAAAAATTTTTGTTTCACATTTTTGGAATAAAAAAATCTAATAAAAAGCAAAGCTCACTACTTTGGTGTTCAGTCATCCATTATTAGTATTTCTTTTATGTATAAAATGTTTTAAAAGTTCATAATTTACATGATACAATATAAAGAGCATTGTTTTGACTTTGAGAAAAAAGTTGACAATAAACTGCAATATTTAGAAGTAAAATATTGGTAAATAACTAATAATTTTAATTTTATTATATATCTTAAATATTGAAAGAAATGACTTGCATTTTGGTAATGTAAGGGAACGTAAATAGAGTATTGGCAACATAGTGTAGAACGTCAGAATTTGGGAGCAATGATGGGTTAATAAAAAACAGTTAATCTAGGGTTAGGGTTTGAATGCTGTAGGATTAAATGAAGCCTAAAAATTAGCTATCATATATGACATATAGTGGGTTTAAGCAATCTTCTTCTTCTTCAGGAGCGCAACAGCCCTTTGCAGGCCTTGGCTGCCTCAACAGCACGCCTTCTCCAGCTCCCTCTGTCCATGGCAACTCCCCTCCAGTTCTTAAGTTTCAGGACTTTGAGGTCGTTTTCAGTGTCTTTGAGCCATCGAGTAGGTGGTCTACCTCTAGAGCGGGACCCCTGAGGGTTCTTGAAGGTGGCAATTTTTACAGGGCTATCTTCAGAGCCTCTCCATATATGTCCGAGCCATCTTAGTCGGTTGCTTCGGATTATCTGCATAATTTGAGGATGTTTATAGAGCCCATAAAGTTCAAAGTTGTACCGTGTTAAGCAATCAGTGCACATTAAAACTTATTTTCTAATGATGCATCTGCACTAAACAAGAGCACTGTCATTCAACATATTGCCATCTGTAATCCAACAACTTCCTAACATTTGGAAAAGTTGCTAAAATTTGTTAGGCATTATATAGAAAGAATATAGTACAATTATTTTATACAATTGCATTCTTAAATGTTTTCGATCTTTGTTGTCAATACTTCAATTACAACCCTTGTAAAGACACAAAAGTATTTGCATAGTCAAATGTACAATGTACATTTTTTAATAATGGCGGCAAGACTAAAAAACAAAGTTTTGGTTAATCCATACTACATATAAAAAACATCTATTGGCTATAATGGTTTAACAGTCTTAATCTTTGAAGATAAATTTCATCTGCACTGTTTCTGTTAAATAAGTCACTTAACTTGTATACTTTTGGAACTGTCAAAAATAGGAACAGGCATACAAAGCTTTTATCAACAAAGGTATATCCAAAACTATTACCATTGTTGTTTTATTTGTTTAGAAGATTGAAAAGAAATTAAATTTGTTTAGGCTGAATAGCAATTAATTTTGTTTTGTACATTGAATAGTATATTTAACCTCACAATTACGGTTAAGCTCACACAAACCTGACTTAATTTCAAATTAAATTGATTACTGATTTCATTAATTTATAATAAATATTTTTTTTTCCTTTACTAAAATATTTTTTATTTAATTGACTTTAAGGCGAGTAATTAAAGTAATTTATTTCTTTTCAAATAAGGAAGGATTTAGTATAACAAATATTTAATTTTTATAGGAGACATAAAATCTTTGCTTATATGAAAGTGAATATATTTTTATTAAATAGGACTAATAACATAACGCAAGAAAACAAATATCAAGGGACAAAAATAGGGGAATGAATACTATGTGAAGAATTAGAAGCAAATTTTTACTAGCATTTCTGAGGCTTACAGTAATAAGGTATTACTTTTAAAAAGCAATTATATATTATATAATTATTAATAAACCTAAAATGAAAAATTTAGATGAAAAATAGAAGGGAAAATATTTAGAGATAAAACATTTTTAAGCTAGTTAATAAAATGTCTAAACAGATATATAAAGATATCTGTAGAAAATTAAATACATCGTACAAAATTAAAGTATTAAAACAAATACATATAAAATGAACTCAAAGTTAAAAAAGACATTTTAAAAGGCTAAAGCAACTTAAAATAGCTCATTTATCAGATATATTTCATTGTAGAATCCAAATTCATCCAAAAGCTGTAGAATAAATTTTATATATATATATATATATATTTTAACTGTCATTGGTTCCAAATGCTTCTTTATAAATACCACACTTCTGTAGAAATTTTGCCACTTCTCCCTGGATTAAAACTCTTCATTACAAAACAAAAACAGTACAATGGTCAAATAATTATAGTTTTGACATAGGGATAAACATTTCTTTTAAAAGTTGATTGTAAATAAAATAGCTGCTGGTCAAATAAAAAACTTAATAATTTAATGTTGAGTGTTCAACAAAGTTGAAACGTCTTTATGGAAATCTATAAGCGTTTAAGTGAACAGATTAAACGGTTACTCAATTGTGTACTGTTTTAAACATCTTGAGGGAAATGAATTGAGACAATTTTAAAAATGAAAAAAAAAAATGCTCATTGCAGTTTTTAAAAATATTAAATTACTTATTCTTTAATATTTTATGACTGAGCTTTTTAATAAAAGTGAATGCATTTATTTTAGATTTACCATGCTAAAGACACAATAAACCATAAAAATAACATACTGCTATAAATTTTAATAGCCCAACAAATAACAATGCTATAAAAAATTTTATAGAAAAAAAATTATGTAATTGTAAAATAGTTTATTTAAAAAATTGTCTTGATTTGGAAACAAATGGGAAAAGAATGAAAAATTAAGATGTTTATTTTCCCAGTTGATTCTTTTTTGATTGAAATTTTATAAATATTGTTTAGATAGGAAAGAATAAATATACTAGAATGCAAAAATGAAAACATACATTCCTAAAGAAATTATCACAATTTCAGAACACAATAAACAACACAAAACAATACTAATAATTGATTTAACACACATAATTACATATTCACATAATATATACAAAATTAAAAAATGGTTAGAAAATATCAAGGATATTAGGGATATAAATTCAATCATTAAAAAAATTATAATACTACAGTCTCCATCATCTATAAAGAATTTATTTTCACATAAAATGAAAGATGGTCTATAAAGTTTCATTAACTTACAAATAAAAAAAAATCTAGCTACTAATAATAATTTTAATAATAATCTAGCTAAAAAATAAATTTTGTTGAATTTTTTGGCATGGAAATATTTGTTCCCCTTTCTCTATCAAAAACGATGTAATATATTTTTTTTTGTATAGTTGAAAAAACTTGTATTTATATTAAACTTGCATTATTTAAATTTATTTTTTGCTAAAACCTATGCATAGATAAATAAAGATTCAGTCCATTTCATAAATTATAAATGCACTTAAAATAAATTAATACAAGTTTTAAATAAAATTCTTGGTATAAATTGTAAACTGATTCTCACTTTACAAAAAGAGGACCATATTTTTTTAAAACAAACTATCGATATAGTTCAGATTCTAAGAATACAGATCATATTTATAAAATATGATAAATCAATAATACTAAAGAGAATAAAAATGAGGTACGTCAGTCTGTTTAAAATGAAGAGCTTTATCATCGCAAACTAAAGTCATTTTGGGATTGGTATAAAAAAAAGGCACACAAGTGCCGTTCAGTTATTATTTTTCTTTCTTAAGCTTGAAATATTATAACGACTAGACAGTTTTCAAGTCGTTTTGACTCCTACCCACTAGATGTGCAGTAGGATAACCACAGAACAAAGATAGTACTGTACAAAAAATGTTTCATCGCTGTACAACATTAACAAGATCACGCACAGTATTTTGAAGGTCGGACAACAACTTCGCACTATCACTACTATTGTTACTATTGCAAGTCCTCAGCTGTTCGCCTTGGTTTTCTAGACGAGAGAGGAGTTCACGAAAACGAAACCGACCATGCGGAGGGATATATTCTGCATAGTTGGAACAGGATGAGCGAAAAAGTTGAACTTTATCAGTCAATTGAATAATGCTCATGCTACTTATGCTTGAGGCATTTCTAAGACCTACTATACTATTTTCTAAAGCATTGGAAATATCTATTATTGAAGCTTTGGTATTTGCAAGTTCCGATTTAGAGTCACTGTCATTTTCATTCTTTTCCAATAGCTTATCTTTATTGGTTTGTTCTAAACTAGATTGGGAAGTGGGGCTGTCTAAGCTTTTTGGGGTGTTTCTAGGAAACAATTGTGGTTTAAGAGCAGGTTTGGTAGGTTTAGTTACAGGTGCGACTGATGCCACGGGACGAACACCTTTCACTGGAGGTTTTTGGGGTACTTGAGGCTTTGAGACAGACACTGCTATTGCAGCATCGTTGACACTTTCCTGAGATTCACACCTCACTGACTGTGCAGCGTCATCTTTTTTGGTATCAGTGCTGCCATCTTTGTTCTGATTAATGTTAGATTTATTTTGCAATGGTGGAGATCCTTTCCATGTTAGTAAATTGTTTCTAGAGCCTTTTTCAGCCTCACCGGTATCAGATTGAGCACTACCAATAATTTTCTGATCTTTCGAATCTGGCAGTTCAAAGCTTCTTTTCATTCTAGATTCCAGCTGTTGAGCCATAATCTTTGGACAGACTTTTTTGAGTGTATCATTTGGTTTATCAACACTGTGACTATCTGCATCTTTTTCCCAGAGCTTCTTTAAACTGCTGATGCTCCCAGAACTGTGCCTTTTGCTCTCATCGTCTTCAACAAGATTGGTCTTATCTGGGTTAGTGATCTCCGTTATTTCATGCCGAGTATCACCATCAGATAGCACACTAGTGCGTTGAACAGGTGGAGCTATGCTATCTTTAAATTTATCTTCTTCTAGTGAAGCACACATGCGGTCTAAAACAGGTTTCGAATAGATAATACGCTTTTTATCCTGTTCGGGTGCATGATTCAACAAATTACTGGTGGTTTCCGAATTATCACATTGAGAATTGTTGCTAATAATTTTGTCAGTTTTTGATATAGGCTTAGGAATTTGTTCTGCAGCAGGAATTTTTTTAACAGTTTTATCAGGATTCCCTTGAAGAGTATTACTGGCAATAGATTCAGTTTCTGCAGCTTTTTTGCGTGCCTTCATCTTCAAGCTTTCAAATAGTTCGGTTACTAATTGAGCAGCAGGATTAGCAGGTGGCGCCGGAGCGGGTGTCGACTTATACCGAGAATTAGAAACGGGTTTCAGATTCTGTCTGAATGTTGAGGCATTTGACACAAATGCGGAATTTTCATTGGAGATGTCCTTAGAATTCGACGTAGGGAAGGAGGAAAATTCGCCAGTTACTTTGGGTTCTTTAAATTGCTGAGGGCTGTTTGCATTGGATCCTAATGAGGAAGCGTTTGGGCTCTGGGCATGATCAGATGCAGAATTGGACATAGGAGACTTTTCAGTATTTCTACCGAGATGTTCATCCATAGAACCACTTTTTACAATACTATTTTTTGGTGGACTAGGTGGTCTATCTTTCGGACGTTTCTTTAGTGTGCGCCTTACAAGACCACATCCAAAAGGTGGTGGTGACTGGTTATAAGCGAGTCTTTCATCTTCCACAGAATCTCTATGCTTCAGATTTACACCAAAGAGAGACCCATTTTCCCTCACATTTTCATGGTTATCTTTACTATCCTCTATTTTGTTCATCTTTTGCAAATAACGATCAGTCTTTTTATTGCGGGGCAGACGGGGAGAGGGAACGGGTTTAATTGCCAAGTGATGAGTTTCAGGAATTGAGCCCGTTTCGAACACCTCGCTAGATTTTGTGTGAGTTAAATCTGACTTCTGTCTTTGCAATACACCATGGTTGAAATACCTAGATATATCAGAATTCTGGGGTATATTGGCATGGGTTGCAGTAAATGTGTCACAAGCTATACGACTGACTAATTCCCCAGTTTGAGAATACATTAAATCAGAGTTAACTTCTTTAAGTACATCGAGTTCCGATTCAAGAACGGGTTCTGGTTGAGAACCTGCGTGCAATCCATGTTGGCGTAGAGATTCTAAATAAGCCCCTATCCTAGCTCCTTTGGGTAGAGTTCCATATCGATTTATTGCCCTTTTCACATTTTGAACTTCTAAAGCTGCTATTTGAACTTTTTTAGGTTGCGATTTGTTATTTATTTGTGCATTGTCTTTCATTCTTTGCTGGATGTTAGGAGGGTAAGTTCTGGTCTTTTTAAGTTTTTGTTGGGAAAGTGCCTGAGCTGTATTCGGAACACTTAAAGCCGAGGTAGCCGTGTGACTTTCGGAATCTTCTGTGTCAGGAGTTCTCTCTTGGATATCACTTTCTGTTTCCCCAGCACTGCTATTTAAATCTTGCAATTCTTTATTTATGTTTTCAAACACTCTTTCTAAGCCATTAACAGCTTCTTTTGAGCCTTCAGATCCATCCTCTCCCATTTTATCTTGGTATGTGCTATCTCGGAAGGAACTTGTTCTTTTAGGAGGAACAGGTGCAGTTTTGCTTCGGGGACCAGATCTACGTAATTGAACTATTGTTGACTTAGCAACAACAGGTTTTGATTGCACATTAGAGCGTCCTATTGAATAAGAAAGAAATGCAATTTAATATGCAGACAATGTTTTAAGTTAAAATACAATATATAATTTTCAAAAGCAGCATTAAAAGAATGATTAATTATGAATTAAAGGAATGAATAAAAACTGTTAACCAACAAAAAATATTTTAATTTCAATGACTTTAAAATTTTAAAACAAAATTAATATTATTAACTAATTATAATTTAAAACGGATTTTTTTGTTGTTGATATAATACACACACATATAATATTTTATATAATACATCATACAGTAAACAGGATTAATTTCATAGTAGCAAAAAAAAAAAAAAAGACAAATAAAGAAAGGTGGGGAGATAGACTGTATTCAGGGATGAGAGTAGTCAGAAAGTGAAAAAGAGGAAATCCAAGAATATATATATATATATATATATAAAAACAAAAATTTGTCAAAAAAAGTGCGATTTTTAAATTTGTAAACCTTGTGATTATAAATCCCGATATGAGGCTTTTAAATCACGTGAATAAGAACCTCTAGATCGAATTTAAAAAATGCGAACATACAAATCATGATGCGTAATTTTTAGATCAAGATGCATAATTTTAAAATCGCGAGATATTACAACGGCAAAAACGAATCACGACATTGGATTTTAAGCTCGCGTAGCTGCATAGGGTTTTAAAAGCTCGTAAATACAAATCGCGATATTGGTTTTTTAAATCAAGTAAATAAGAATCGCAATGTACAATATTTAAATGGCCTGAATAAGAATCGCAACGTTCAACTTTTAAATCAGGTAAATACGAAAATCGACGATTGATATTAAAATCGCGTGAACAAAAATCGAGATATTTGCAGAGTCTGGACTTGGGATTTCTAAAAGGCTTGTTTGAATTGTTTTTTGTTTACACAATAAATAAAAATTTACAAGATTAATTGAATGAGCAAATAAATATTTTCACCGCAAATTCACCTCTATTTTTTTCCCCGCTTTCACTCCAGAATACAAGAAGCAGCGACGTCTAAATTACGAAAATACGAGCTATCCCGCTGACGTATAAAAAATACGGAAAATCTTATTTTCTGTGCGTGAAATCGGAGAAAATAGCTAATATAAGTAAACATGCGGAAGGGTTAGCAGCTAGGACGTAGTTTGAATTTTCTGTTTTTCGTTGAAAATCGTAAACAAATATAATTATTTGACTTCAACGACTGAATTTTTTTTTTAAAAAAAAAAAACGGGATATTTATTTATAAATAAATTAAAAAAAACGAAACTTTTAGAGAATCTGAGTTTTTGATAAAAAGGCTGAAGTTCGAGAGACAAAAGCGAAAAAAATCTCTTCCCTGTTTAAAGGTCAACCAGTTTTATCCTAAGGAAATGATTTTTAGAGAAACTTCAGATGGAGGAATGAGGACTTCAATAATTTCGCTCCGCGGAAAATTAAATTCCTCATAAAATATTTTAACTTGTGCAAATAACAATTTCAGCGGAAAAAATGGAAAAATCTGAGAAAAAGCGGAAATCCGCGAATCCGCGGAAGAATCTCATCCCTATAATATGATTTAAACAAAACTGTTACAATATGTACCAACAACAAAAAGGTACAATATGTACCAACAACAAAAAGGTACAATATGTACCTTGGGACACTTTGTATATTCTACTATAAGAGGTTAAAAAAAATTTTTTTAAATTTGTGCTGGAAAAATATATTACAAAAGAAAACAAACCATCTACCATCTGCAATGAAACATTGTCTTTAGGTTGTAAATCTGGGTATAATTGTTAAAGCTAAAATTAAGATGTGAAAAAGTGTCCCACTCTCCTCAAGTTCTATTTAAAATAATATATAAATAACAAATTTACTCTTCTTGAGCTAATTACTAAAACTGATTTCAAACAGAATATTTGCTTACAATTAAAAATTCTTTGCTTTTTCTCTTGCACATTTCAGTACTTGGTCTTTTGGATTTATTTGACTCTTCAGTATGAAGGCCCATTTCATCAGATACAACTTCATTTGGATCAATATTAAACCTTTGACGAGAATTTCTTTTCACTACCATGATTGGAAACTGAAAATACATTTAAAGTGTTAAAGTCAAATTTAGAAAAAAATAAATTTTATATATATATATATANTATAGTTATATATATATATATATAAAACAATAAGTTGATATTAAAAAAATCACATAGAAAAGAATTAGAAAAAAGTATTATAAATTTCAGATGAAAATAAGCACAGTAGAAAAATTTCCATAAGCAACAACATAAATTGAAAATAGAGATTTTTATATATTTGGCAGGTTTGCTTGATTATCTATTTATTGGAGGAAAAAAAAATTGTTTCAGAGAGAAAATAGCTGTCACGCAACTTTTTTTGAAATCAATTATGTAGCTCTAATGTTGTTTTTTCAATTGCACAGCAGAATAGTGTTTATCTATACTAGTTAAATGTTTAATTTTAGTAAAATTGTCAAGCCTATAACTATTTGAAAGGAAGATTTTACAAAATAGCAAGCATACAGTGGTAAGTATAGCACATGGTAAGTTCCAAGGTAAGTGTTGTACCTTGGCACAAAATAAAAATTTGCACCACCCAATGAAAGAATTAAGCATTTAGTGTACGTAGGTGTTGTACCTTGATCAAATTTTTCTTTACAAAAAGTTTTTTTACCGAAGTGTATATTCTCAAAGAAAACCACACTAATGAATAAATATATAAGGTATTACACACAAAATATTTAAGTTTCGTAAATCATTACTTTCTACATAAAAAAAGGAAAAGCTAAAATTGGATCAAAACTACAATATTTATTTTCATATATAGGGAGCCAAAAATGAACGGAAATCGTCAAACATCTTGAGAAATACACATCAGGTTAAAAATCTAAAAACACGCAAGAGTAATATTTTTGTGAAATGTATTCAATGAAAATCACTCGACTATCCCCTAACCTTACATACAGAGGTGGGGGAAACTTTAAAATTATAAATCATCATATTTGGCTAGACAGCCCAGAGTGAGCCAGTGACTTCTGAATTCTGGCCCACTGGATTTGATTTTTGACACTTGTGTGCCAGCTTCTTTCCTGGACAACAAAAGTCATAAATAGGAACACATTGCCAGCAGCCATAAATAGGAACACATAGCCAAGGGATGTACAGCCACACCTATCAAAGAATATTAGCATCCTAAACAGGATTTTTTTTAAAAAAATAATAAAGTTAGAATTTATAGCAATCAATTATACTAGGAAGTGCTGCCCATGCTCATTTCACTATTAATTCCCACAATTACTAGAATTGTTGTTTCTTACAATAAACAGATTGTTGCATCTAAATTGAAAATTATTCATTTGAAAGATTCAAAATATTTTACTGAATTAACAAAGATAAGGTTTCACATATTTAGGTATCAATTCTATAAGAATGAAATTTAAACAAAATAATTTTCTTTTTGGGTTACTATAATTTTATCTATGTTTCTAATAATGATTTACAATCTCATATTCTTTGTTATAATTGCTAATGTTGATTGGACACAGTTTTATACAAAACTTATATTAAAGTAAATAGAATTTGCTGCCCTATCTATAATAGTAAAATGGTAAATAAGTTTAGATACCAATTTAAAATGCTTATAAAATGAATAAGAAACACAGCTTTTAGTTTTGAGACTTGAATTTGAAATAACTATCAAAATCAAATATATAATAACAGCAGAGAATATTATGTTATAAGAAAAATCAATATTACAGGCCTCAAATAAGGTAAAAATAATATTTTATATGTAAACACCTTGAGTTTTATTAATTTTATGCGGGTGACAACACAAAAAGCTAGATCTTTATATGAAAAAAAAACGGGATCATAACATTGCTGCAAAAGTACATTTCTGACACCTTTTAAATTTCTAGTTTTAACACTCTTCCTAGATGCTTTAATGCGATTAAAAAATATTTCGATAGGTAAAAAGGTGAATTTTTGATAACATGAAAGTGATTTTATTTGATAACTTGCCCACTGGTTTGGTTTATTGAAGGTGATTTGGTAGCGAAACCAATGTCTTATTATAATATTTCAAGATTGTTATTTTTATTTATTAATTAATTTTTTCTATAATGAGTAAAATTTTAAATTGACCATCCTTTTGGTTTAGAGGGAATAATAATTAAAAAAAAAAAACTTTTAAATAAAGTTTATTTCTGTTTCTCCCTCTTGAAATTATACTATACTTTATAGATAGAACACAAAAGGGTTTCAAAAATTTTCTATAATGAATAATAAGATATTGTTTCAAAAAGAAAAACAAAAGTTTGAAAACCAATATAGTAAATCAACTAGACATAGCATAGTTAGAAAAAACATAGCAAACAAAATAAAAGAAAAATATATAGAAACAAAATATTGCACTCAGTTAATACTGGACTTAAATACTTACTGATGCATTCACTTCTTTTGCTACCTTATTCTTATAATCAATTATTAATACATATTTCACATCTAGAAATAGAAACTTTTATTAAACATTATTACATGACAAAAGTATATATATATATAAGGTTTGAGCAAACTTTATTTTTAGGTAATTGATTATACATTTGAAAGTTAGAATGATCAATAAACTTACTATCAAACTATATCTTCCCATAACAATTTTTATTTTTATTTCAAGCTTTAATAAGATTCTTTCAAATCAAAAATAAAAGTTAAAACATGATTTTCCTCAGCTCTTTGTTAGTATTTTCATTTTATTCATTTACTTTTCTACAAAACTTGTAATATTCATCCAGTACTTCAATTTAACCAATCAAATTATTTTACTCAAAATTCATTGGCGATAATAATCTGTCGATCGTCTACATTTTCGATTTAATGAGGAATAGATTTCTATTTTTACATTCCCTTTTTGCTTAGGTATCTGCAAGAATAGGCAGCAAGTTATCTTCTTTGCATTAAAAGGGTTTATTTCCTTTGCTAACACTTGCAAACCAAATGTTAGCAAAGGAAAGACCATTTATTTAATATTTTTTAATACCTTTTTAAATTTTAACTAAGTTAAACTTTATTTTTTTTTATTGTAAAATTGTTTAGATAAGTTCTTTTGACTTAAAGAATATTCGAGTTCTATAATGACTAATTTTTGCATTGTCCATTTTAAGGTTATTATGTTAGCAATTATTCCTGTTTTATGACGACATTGGGTCCAGTTTTTATGAAAGCTGATTTATCATATTAGTATGGTTATGCTCTATTGTACAAATCTGTTTTTGTGAAGAGGCATTATTGCATACATATTTTATATCTATCTATCTATCTATGAAGAATTTTTGTAAAGTAATGGCAGTTGGATGGGGACAATCAGGAATCTAAAAAACTCTCAGCCTTAACATCAAGAATTTTTAATTAATTAACAGTGACTGAATAATTCCTAACAGACACTTAGGAGCATGGGAAGAGATCTTATAGTAGATGATTTATTGATAGATAAAATGGGCAAACCCTTTGCTATTAATTTTTAAATAATCCGGCTACAGCTTAATCATTAAAATGACCGTGAGAATTAATATAACCCTATAACTGAAACATTTTTGTGGTTGGAGAAATAATGTAGCTTAAGGAATAAAGAGTTTAAAATAGATTTTGATATTCAAATCTATTTTTAACTTAAGTGACAGTGAAATAATTAGTTATACATTCATATTGACAGGGGTGATTGTGAGCCTAAGTCAAAATTTCGGAAAATTTCTTGAGTTAAAAAAAAAAACAAAACAAAAAAAACAGTTTAAATTGAAAAATTAGAAAAAAATTTAAACAAGTTTTTTTTTCCTTTTTCTCAATATTTCTTAGTTTACTTAAAATATATTTAAAATTTTACACAAACCTATACCTGGAGAAGTAATTAAAATTTACAAACATGTCTTTTTTTCTTGAGTTTAACAACTATTTACTGATAACAACTATTTACTGATGAAAAAATTAATCATGAATATAAGCTTATAAAGTATCTCTCTGGCTCACCCTTACAAACAAATAAAATAAACTGTGTTTTTAAGTTCCACCTTTGAAAATTTGATTTCCAGAAACTTCTGTGATCAATGATTTTTCGAAACGTCTGGACCTTCGATCTCCGGAAACTTCCTGATCACTGTTAACGAAAAATCCGGAAATCCGGATTTTTTCCGGATCACAATCAGCCCTGTATTGAATTAAAAAGTTAGCTGTTAATTGTTAAAAAAAGAAAAAATATTTAGATTCGCTTTCTTATTTTTTATAAGATGTGATAAAAATTAAACAACTGCTTTGATTCAATTAAAATTGGATTAGGAATGATTAAAAAAATTAAATTTATGAAATTTTAAAAGCTAGGAAAAATTTTATGCCTATAATGGTATCGCAGATGCACATATTGTAGTTCCTTCATTAATTCATTTTTTAAATGTAATTATTGAATGAAATTATTAAAAGACATTTCTTATAAAGGATGGTTGAATATTTTCATCTGGGGGATTTGGCCCTGGATAATTGGGACAATACCCAATTTTTTAATCAGTGAAAAATTTCAGTTAAATTTTATAAAAAGAAATGTCTGGTGATAAAACCAGATGATTTGAATTATGATTGTTTCATTTTAAATAAATATATATTATTTTTGAAAATAATTGGGTGAAATAATAAAAAATAACTACATTTTTATAAATTTCAGTAAATGGAAGAATTAACCAAAATAATGGACTAATTATAAACGTAATTAATAACTTTTTATTGTAAATATTTCCTGAATATTGAATTTAACATTAGACATAATTATTTAATTAATATGAACTTTTTTATTTAATTTTTATTTAAATATATATATTTTACATTATTCATATTAGTTTAATACAGTCAATAAATTGGCTCATTGCAACGGATCACTTGGGTTATGCCAAACAATAAACAATAGTACTTTTCACTAAATTTATGTTCTATTTTATTTTGACCCTTTACCTAATTAAACTTTTACTTTTGACTACTTTCTATTGTCATTAAGCATTTTAATTACTCTTCTAAAATTTATAAGCTAATACTTTTCTTGTTTTGATAAGCACCATCTTAAATATTTAAAATCACTAGGTATAAATAATAATTCTGAATGTGACAAATAGAATATTATCATTATGATATAAACTCGCCCTTTACCAGAATTTTGTCAACTTTTACCGAATTTAAAAACAGATATTTCAATATTATAAAGCAATATAATTTAAATATTATTAGAGATAGTCAAATTTAAAATTTTTTTTTTAATTGCTAAGTTTATAATACATATTTTAATATTGAGACATTTTCTCCTTCACAAATATACATTAATATAACTTATTTAACATTTTTTACAAAATTTATCTTAATCTATATTTTTTTTTCAGAGTCCCTGTTCACACTTTTTCAGAATGTCAATTATGTAAGCTAAAATGAAATAAATAAATAACATATATGTATTGTAATAGTTTAGTTACAAAAATACTGTTTTATTTGGCTAACCAAGGCTTGGCAGATTCAAGATTTGTGTAAAAATATGTCCTATTTTCTGTTATTAATTTTTTTTAGGATTTTTTATGTTCAGCTGTAGTTCTGTGAATTGGCTTTTCCCTTGTGCTTGGCTAGTACATATACTTCACTTCTTGCCCTTCTTGGAGCAGACTTTCTAATGATTGCTCTTCCTCATCCCGTTTTTCTGCTATGGAGAAGGTCGAAACTTTTATTCCATCATAATTTTTGTAATTATATTATTATTATTAATCGCAATTACATTATAAATCTACTTGATAAAGATTTGAAGCTCTTTCTTAACTGTTAATATAGAAATAAACTTACCAAATGCAACTAGTACTGCCTTTAGTATATCAACTACTCCTGGCTTTTTGAAAACTTCATTTCCATTTCATTTCTATCTTCACATTGGTCGCCTAAATTGTGGAAAATATAATGAATGATCTAAACTTATGTCTAAAGAAAAAGTGTTTAAAAACAAACAAACAGTAATCTAATTTTATTTTCTATCATTTTCAGAAAAAAGCTTTAAAGTCTACAGAGTGTAATGTTTTTTTCAATTCTCATCTAACATTCTGCAACCAGACTTAAGATATTTATAAATGTTCTGCAGGTAATATCAGAAATAAACTCTCACCAGCTAAATTAATACCATTTTTTAAACTTAACCGAAACTTGAAAGAAAAAAAAACTTAATTTAATTAGTTAAATATCCAATTATGTATAAATGCCTAATATATAATGAAACAAAAAGGAAAATCTGATAAATTTTTTTTTACTTAGTTCCAAGTGTACAGCCAAATTTTTCAATAAAAAAAAAGCACTAAAAAAATAGCATTATTTTTTTAAAAAATAATTATATTTAGGCTTCAATCACCAATAAAATTTTTCTATAGTCGAAAGTTCTTTTATACATTCATAATATTAACAAATAGTAAAAAGATTTTCAAAAATTAAAATTATTTATAAATGCATACTCTCAAAAAGACTAAAAAGATTAATATTATTGATCATACTGAGTTGAGAAATATGTGTAGATAATTAGGCAAACTAAGAAAACTTAAATAAAGTTATAATACAAATATAACTTAGACAATGGACCCAATTAAATTTTAATTAAAAATTGTAATTTGGTTCAATACTTCTTTAATTGTATGAAGAAGAACAGCTAAACAAACATTTAGTTAAATCTTAACTTAATTACATAAAATATAATGTATTTACAATAAAAAGACCCCCCCCCCAATTCTGTTTGCATAAACTACTTTAAATTTTACTATAAATAAATAAATCAAATAAGAGATAGAGACAACATTTATTGTAAATTTACCCTAAACTTTTCATGAAATAAATAAATAAAATATGAGAGAGAGAAATGAATTTTTTTATTAACTTATTCTAAACTTAACAAGAAAATAAATAAACAAATCAACTCAGAGATTATAAAAAATTTTGCCAAAGAAAAGTAATTAAAATAAAAGAAATAGATGCATAGAATTTTTTATATGAATTTTCATTTTGAAATTACAAATGTGACTAAATAAAAGGATACAAAATAAATATTTTCAAAATATAAAATTTCTGCCATTAAAATTTATTTATTCTAGTATTAATTTATCAAGTGAATGAACAATTAACAAGGGGAAAGAAGATTAATATGAAAATGCTTGCGTGAAAACTAAGCAATTCATAAAATATAACCCTCAGGGTTGGCAAGTTTTTGACACATGACGGTTTTTACCGGTTTATACCATGGTTTTTACCGTCATGTCAAAAACCCATAGTTTTGATAAAACTGAATTTTAATTTGAGTTTAACTGCTTATGATTTAAAATTAACTCATTTTTGGGCAATAAAATTAAAAAAAAAGTTGTTAAAAGATATTTAAGAACAGATTTTTGCATTTTCCCAACATGATTATATCAAATCATACTATTTCAAGTAAAATATTAGGATACTAAACAAAATTTTCAACATTTCCAAGCATCATTTTGTTTGGCATATTACATTACTCAAGAATGTCAAGTCATTCCTCCCTGACTTAGAGTTTGTTAGTAGTTACAAGTTTTGAAAGTTTTGTTTAGCTTATTTCTAATATTTAAGAAATGCCAAATTTTAAATTCTTCTTTTTAGTTCTTGAATTTATTAATAGTTCCAAGCTTTTTTGTTTGTTTGTTTATTTCTAACAATTAAGAAGTGCAAAATTTTGAATCCTTTGCAAATCAAGCTATAATGATAAAAGTTAAGTATCACTATTTTCAATAAGTATATTACAATATTTCTGTATGAATGTATATCCTTCTATAAGAATACATGTATATAGTTGCAAAATCAATAGCAATCATTTACAACACTCATTTATAAAGGCAATTAAGTGAAAATAATATATTCCGCTATATGCCATAAATTAAAGAAAACAGTAGGTTTTTGACGGTTTTTACCGGTAAAAACACGGTTTTTACCACTGTCATGTCAAAAACCAGTTTTTGACGGCAAAAACCCAACTCTGATAACCCTTATTATTATTTTTTTTTTTATACATGTTACATTTACACAAATTAAAGGCTAAGGAGAATGAAAAAAGAGTGCACAAAAATTTATTAAAAGAAAATTCTTAAAGTAAAATAAAAAATTATGAAGCTTATGGGCATAGGGTTCGGTTTTACTGGTAAAAACCATGACGTAAAACCTGGTAAATACTATTAACCCATGTTAATTTTTTACAGATATAGTGTTTTGTTATTTATAACTGTTAGCAATATATATATTATTTCAATATTATAGCTTAGTTTATTAAATATATATTTATATATATGTGTAAATCTCAAGTAACAAATTTCAATATGAGTCAATAACCATTAATTAAATATTAAAATCATAGTTGTAAATGGCATTGTATTATATTATTGTATAACTTTATTACAGCTGCATATATAGAAAATAACAGAGAAGCTCAAATAAGCAGAATTTCAGAATTTTATTAAAAAAGAATTAAATTATTTCTTTTCGTTTCTCATAAAATAATATTTAGCATAATAAAAAATCTACAGTAGTGATAAGGGTAGAATAAAATAAGGATTCATCTCACCTATCTTTTGTAGTTTATTTTTATAAAATTAGAATACGAAGAAAAAAAAATTAATTCTTGCTTATTTCAGTTTGTATATGCACTTTAAGATCAAGATTTTCCAAAATATCCATTTGTATGTAATATTTGAATTGTAATACAGTAGGGAACTGATTATCCGGAACGATCGGGACCATCGCTATTCCGGATAACTGATTTTTCCGGTTTTCTGTATCGCTACAAAAAGCCGTTTTTTTATTGTTAAACCCAACTAAAAAAATTTTTTTTCTTGGAAATAATCTTAAAAAGAAGAAAAAACGATGGAGTAATACACTAATGATTATTTCCAAAATGATGGTAAGGTAAACATCTTTCAAAAAAGAAAGAAAAATCCTAAAATCTTATGAGGAAAAAATTTTTTTTTTAAAAAAATGGCGGAAAATTTGTCGAATTTCGTTCCGGTTTTTTGGTTTTCCAGTTTTCTGATTTCCGGATAACGGGTTCTGTACTGTAATTCATTATGTATGAAAATATCAAAAATAAGAGGAACAACAAAAATGAATATCAATGACGTATATAACAGAAATTAGAATAAAAATGTTATCATCAAGACTATTGATAATATTATTATCAAGACTGCTGACAATATTAAATACACAAATGTTTTAATTTGGCCATAAGTTAGATTACTTTAGAAATCAATATATGATAAACATTAAAAAAAATATCTATGGCAAAAACAGGCCTCATAGAGGTTTTAACAAAAAATTAGGAGAATAAATAAATATTAAAAAAAAAATTGTAAAAAAATAGACAAAATCAAGACAATTTCAGTGCAGAATATTCTTTAAAAAAAAAAAAAAAAAAAAAAAAAAACAGAGCAAGAAGAAAAACCAACTAAGAAGTTATAATTTACTAATCTAAACATCTATCTAAAAGTTATATTTTGCTTCTTAATGAAAAAATTTTTTCTAAAGTTTATCAAAACTGATAAACTAACATTTTAATTCAAAAATTTTTTGAACTTTTTTTTAGAATGACCTTATTTGATAAAAAAATATATGTATCATAGCTCCTATCATCTTTTAATACTTAAAATACTGAAAAACTTGCATTATTTTGTGGTCACTATACTTAAAATAATTTTTATTGAACTTGATAAGAATCAATCCTTTAATTTAATAAAAATTCAACATCTGCATATTTAAGAATAAAAAATATATTTAATCTTCTACTTTCGATCATAACATACTCATTAAGTGTAAAAATTATTTATTAATAATTTTTAAGAATTAAACCGATTGCCATAAATTCAAGTTTGGATGGTAAAAAAAAAAACAAGTAATAATAAGCAAGTACACATATTTAATGCCAAATGTCATAATTTTTTCTTAATACTATATTCTCTTCCATACACTACACTTAAACTAGCATTAAAACTGAAACAAGTTAATAACTAACAAATTGCCAAAACATAAAAAGTATTTAATGCGAGGAAAAGTCAATAGATTGTGATCAATCAACAAAAGGAAAGTTGCATTATTTTTTGAATTAATACCCTTTATTTAAAAAATGCACCTTTAAGTGTTTATTTTCTTAATTTTCAGTTTAAAGTATTAAAAAAAAGTTTTAAAGTTGTATATCAATCTTTTTTTAGTTTACTTTTTTTAAAAGAAAATTTATACAGAGAGATTGTCTAATAGCTTACCTTTAATTATTTTTTAAAAGTTTCAAATGTTTCTGTTTTTTGATAATGAGTGAGAAGAATTATTTAGTGAAATACACACACAAAATAGTATAAGAGAATAACTTAAAAATTGAGGATAAAATTCAGTTATTTAATAATATTACATATATTAATAAATTTTAAGGGTGATAAATGAGTGCCCTTTTTTATTTCTAGGGAGAATCTCAGTTCTTTTTTCTAAATTTAATATTAGCATTTAAAAAGAGATCTCATATAATATGCCATACTTGTTACATTAAATATTATAAAAACCGTAATATTGCTATATAACAAAAAAAAAAAAAAAAAAAAAAAAAAAAAAAAAAAAAAAAAAAAAAAAAAAAAAAAAA